TTGCCTCAGGAACTTCGTTGAAATGCTTCATCTCGCTGACCAACTACTGCTCCATGTTACGCACATTTTTCCCATAAGCTCTTACATATCGCATACATATTCCTTTAAGAGCGCATTCAAGACAACAAAGTAGGATGCGCAAGGGAGTTATGCGTCATCGTCAAAACGTTTGGTAACTTGACGAGTTACGACCAAGTAGTTGCTGCAATTTGAGCTTCCTATAATACGACCCTACAGAATCCCGTCCCCAAAGTATAACCGTTCCCCTCTTACACCCACGGAACAGAGGGAAGAAGGGAAGAAGAGCTATCGGAACTACAATCTGCCCTTGGCACTTCCTTGACGTCCCTGATATCAGCTGCACCGCCTTCGCACCAGTTTGCCGATGGTGTACAGATGTTTTTTTTTACGATTGAACAAAATACGATAGATTGCAACGATTATTATCAAATACAGACTAATTACAATTTCTTGTAAACGAGAGTCAAGAAAATGAAGCTTACCGATGACTAAACCATAGTAAACAAGAGCTGTCGCCATGAATACGATGCAAACCGTGATGGTACGAAAGCGCAGCTCTGGCGTTTTGAACAGGTCCAACATACCAACCTTTCCCTAGAATTGAAAACAGTGAAGCTTCGGTTTCCAAAAAGCAATTATGAGTGGTCGCAGCTCAAACAAGAGAATTTCTGCGACAGTTTCACTATGCAATCTTGTATCACGCCTCCTCCCAACTCTTGATTTATACGCTACCCGATTTCACCTACTAAGACCACAGGGAGAAAAGACATTAACGTAGATAAATCAAATCACCTCGATCAATGCCACCCTCGCCAACATGGCTGTTTCTATGGTACTTTATTCTGATTCTGAGACCAGTATAAACGCGACACCCCCTGCCGAAATCACAAGTGCGACCCCTCGTTCGGATATTGCGAACGGACGGTTGATCCTATCCTCCCCCGCCCCCCTGATGGGATTTCTAGGTAACTTTTTGAGTACTATTAGAGAGGCATGACAATTTTTCGGAAATATAATAATAGCTTCACTAACAGAACTATGAATACCTTCTTATTTAGTCTCTTCTCTCGGTGACACACCAGCTCAAGATCAGATGGCAATGAGCCTTTATTGATGCGGCATAAATTGAAAGGAAACGGTGGTGTTCTGTAAATATCATCATGAATTTACTACCACATCAATCCATTGTATCTGAATCGTGATGTGAGCCAACATGTGCTTACCGACACGCTTTCCCGAAATTACTTCTTCCGCTTCTTTCACAGTCGTTCTTAAACCATTAACGCATCGTGTGATTCGCGGCAAGAGAACAGATGCAGCAAGCACAGCGCACCATAAATGAAACGCCGCAAGCGATCAACCTGAAACATTCCAAGAGCTGCATTTGATCAATTGTTCAAATTTCGTTGGGACATGAGTCCCCATAATGTTGCTCTAGTATAGAGTACAACACCTCACCATCTCTTCCAATCCGTTCGTAATGTTCCATGACATTTTGGAGATTTAGAGCAATTTTTAAGTCGGTAACGTCTCTCTTACCTGCACAGTTTTCCAGCTTTTTGCCAGGTATGCTATAAGAGCCAGAAGAGCGTAACCCATTGCCCATGGAACTTGCAACATACTGCCAACCATCGCTCGATATCTCGTACCTTAAGAAAGTTGTTGACCTCAGGAAAAGTATCATGGAACTGTTGGAGCGCGCCGAGCTGAAGCGCTACATTACACTTTGACCCTTGGCCCGATGCAAATTCGTAATAAACAGCTTTATGAGATGAAAGCTACCATTGATTCCTTTGAGTTCGGGATAACTGCATGTAAATTTTCATCTCGCTTCTAATTTTACTTAATTTGATTCTGATTTCTACAGATTCATATCCAAAGGGTTACAGAGCTAAAAGTTTGTTGCAAATTATTTACGTCATAGTTGTAGAGGGTTTAGCGTTTTATATAGGGCGTGTTACATTTTAATCATAAAGCGATGACTCTGTGTTTAGCTTAAAACTTCTTATATTACACTGCATAAGTTTTATAGCTTCACACATAATACTAGTGTATTATAATGATGAGATGGTCATACCCGTGATCTCCATACAAAGCGTATAGGCGGCTAGATCAGCTGCTTCGTTACAGATAGCACTGCAGAATCGGATAAACAGGAACATCGGATAGTAGGTGGTGTACGGTAGGAATACACCAAACATCGACGACAGTATCCCAAATCCAATTACTGTGGGTTTACGACCAAAGCTAAAAGAAATCTATTACTTTTACCAACACTTCTCCGAATATCCGAAGTAGGGGTTGCACCTATCGTCAACCATCCGCTGTTCCAGCTCCAGAAACTTCCCGGTCGATCATGGGAGGTGACGGGGTGGTATCGACCCTTTAATGGGTCGACACGACCCCACTACCATCGCCATCAGCCTTCGGGGACAACACGACACTTTTCCTCCATCCCCGACACCAAGACTGCCCGTTTTCCTCCAAAAGGCAGTGGATTGAGCGGAGAGCGAGCGGGGGAGGGGGGGGGGGGGGGGGAAAGGAGTATTTCTCTAATGAAGGGGCAAATCTAATTCTGATGATTTTGACCACTTTATGCTAACCTTTTCAAATTTACCCAAAATCTCAGAAAACGCGTTTAGATCGACCTTATCGCCACCACAACCTCTTCAACTTCGAAAATTTCGACCACCCATTTACAACCTTTTGACCTTCACTAATCCCAAACGACCCACCCCCTCCCCTGAGATCTGCGGAACGCATGGTTGACCCTGGCTACACCACTGAACTTCTTCAGATGGCACATTTTTGACATATCAAATCGACAACGTCAGGTCACTAGAAACATGAAACAGGCTAAAAGGACAGGAACTTCGGGCCCCTACCGCTCTTCAAACCAATTTCGCCACTCCATTCAGTGGTTAGCCCAGATAACGACCACATTGCGCTCAACTCGAAATGTCACTTACTTATCGCTGGCCATTCCTCCCACAACACAACCGACCAAATAGCCGAACGAGTAGAAAAGATGTGCGTGGCCTTTCATGAAGTAATCATCACAAACCAAATTCCAGTCTGTTACGATAGTCTCATGCATCACCTGGAAACGATCGATTATTGATTTTTTACCATGTTCAGGACAACCCATATTGCTGCACATACGTCGGTTTTGTAATGAAATCGTTCGCACTTCTGCTTCTTTGCACTGTCTTTCCACGCGCTCTGCACTGCTTCCATCAATGGCATCTTTCGCAACTCCTTATACCTCTCTACTGGTCGGGAATAGTAATGACACTGAAAAACAGTAGTTTAGCAAAAATAACTAATCCATTGGGGCAGTTTCGATTAATTTGTACATTCATTACCCTAAAAGCATTCTACAATTTCAATAATGGAGCTCAGAGTTCAGTTTAATCTCAATAAATCTAGTTAACCATTCACATTTAAGCCGCATTTTCTACGTCAATGCCACATGCAACGAGAGTGCTTAATTTATGGATTTATTGAATTTCGGATACCCAAAGTGTGTGAAAGTAAAGCCCCTGGAGCAGGGTCACCGTCACGTTCGCATTTTTTCGAAATTTTGTGACCCCCCCCCCACCAACACCAGTCTTGTAAGGCTCCTCCAATACGATCTCACTTCCGTCATCTCCGCCCACCTTCCTCACCATCACCACTGATTCCACAGTGCTTCTGAGAGCGATCGACACTCCGCGCTCTTCTTCCTCCAAAACGGCAGTCGAGCGGTGGAGGGTAAATTGGTACTGTGCTAAGCGGCAAACCCACCAATTTGGCCTCATTCTCACTAGTTTCGTAAAACTTTCACCAAATTCGTCAAAAATACCTCCAAATACAACCCCCTTTAAATCTCCGCTCCCACTATGATAACCTTGCTCAACCCCAAAATGCGACCCCCTTCCCGAAATCAAATGCGACCCCCTCGTTCGAATATGTAGTGCGAACGAACAGTTGACCCTGCCCTGGAGCCCATTTCCAAACGTCCTTAAGGATAATAAAAGGATAAAGGATAAAGCATTTGCCGTTGATCAATCCCTTTTTGGGATGCGGCACGCATTCTACTTCCATTTGTACATTCGTAGTGGCGTTTGAATGCGATGTGGCCTATACAATGACTTGCGGGGGCCAGCCGATGTACAAGTCAGTGTTTTTATCCTCCCAGACAATTGGCCCGGGCGACTCACGACCCAGGATTTGATCCCCGGACCGCTCGCGTGGTAAGCGTGCCACTTGCCACTACACCACTTCCGCCCTTATTTTGAGTTATGCTCACACAG